ATGCCGTTGTTTTGGTGGGGAAGGGTTTGTAAGTGCCTCAAGCCGGGAGGGATTCGGCGCCGTCGCTTGGTGGGGAAGGGTTTTTAATGGACTCGGGCTGGGGGGGGGGGATCACTGCTGTCTCCTTGAAGGGGGGGGCTCAGTAATTGCGGGGGGGGGGGAGGAGAGTCTGTGCCATGGGAGAAGGGTTTGTAATTGCCTCGGGATGGGAGGGAGCCGGCACCGTCGCCTTGGTGGGGAAGGGTCTGTAACTGCCTCAGGACGGATGGGATTCGGCGCCGTCGCTTGGTGGGGAAGGGTCCGTAATTGCCTCAGGGAGGGGGGGAGTCTGTGCTTTCGGGGAAGAGATCGTAATCGCTTGGGGAGGGCAGGAGGGAATCGGTGCCGTCGAGAAAGGGTCCGTAATTGCCTCAGGGCGGGAGGGAGCCAGTGCCGTCGCCCTAGGGGAGAAGGGTTTGTAATTGCCTCAGTGCGGGGGGGAGTAGATGCCGTTGTCTTGGTGGGGAAGGGTTTGTAAGTGCCTCAAGCCGGGAGGGAATCGGTGCCGTCGCCTTGGTGGGGAAGGATTTTTAATGGACTCGGGCTGGGGGGGGATCACTGCTGTTTCCTTGAAGGGGGGGCTCAGTAATTGCCTGGGGGGGGGGGGGGAAAGAGTCTATGCTTTCGGGGAAGGGTTTGTAATTGCCTCGGGATGGGGGGGAGCCGGCACCGTCGCCTTGGTGGGGAAGGGTCTGTAACTGCCTCAGAACGGATGGGATTCGGCACCGTCGCTTGGTGGGGAAGGGTTTTTAATGGACTCGGGCTGGGGGGGGGATTACTGCTGTCTCCTTGAAGGGGGGGGCTCAGTAATTGCGGGGGGGGGGGGGGGGAGGCAGTCCGCGCCTTCGGGGAAGGGTTTGTAATTGCCGGGATGGGAGGGAGCCGGCACCGTCGCCTTGGTGGGGGGAAGGGTCTGTAACTGCCTCAGAACGGATGGGATTCGGCGCCGTCGCTTGGTGGGGAAGGGTCCGTAATTGCCTCAGGGAGGGGGGGAGTCTGTGCCTTCGGGGAAGGGTCGGTAATTGCGTCGGGGCGGGAAGGGGTCGGTGCCGTCGCCTTGGTGGGGAAGGGTCCGTAATTGCCTCAGGCCGGGTGGGAGGCGGTGCCGTCAGGGAAGGGTCCGTGTCCGCCGCGGGGCGGGCTGGCGGGGGTCGGTCACCGCCGTCGGGGGCCTGCGAGCGCCGCTGGCCGGGCTGGGCTCTGCGCCTTCCCGGGAGGCGCGGGCAGGCATCGCCGCAGGGGGTGCAGCAGGACCACGGAGGATCCAGTCTCCGCCTGGAGCGGCCCGGAGCAGCAGAGCGTCCTTCGCCCTCGTCCCTGCAGGGAGCCCCGGAGCACCCATCCCGTGAGAGGAGCTGATGGGTGAGCAGTTACTTGGTGGGGGGGGGGGGGGGCAGAGGGAAGGGGGGTCGGGAGTAGGTGCGGGAGGACGGCGGGGCCGGTGGTCCTGGGGACAGCTCCCACGGGGGCCGGGCGGGGCTGTGGGGAGCTCCCGCTCCCTTTAGTCCCTGACCGTGCCCTCTTGCCTTCGCACCGGCCTGCGGAGCACACAGAGGAGGCGTCCGTCGTGAGGCGCAGCGAGGCAAGAGCGAGCGGGGGAAGCCCAGGACGCCGAAGAGGAGCGGAGCGGGGGAAGCAGGAGAGGCTGAAGAGGAGGAAAGAGGCACTCTGGGCACAGGGACCTCCCTATCACTGGGGCTGGGGTCACACAAGGGCGTCACTGGCACCTTTGGGGTGCCCTCCCTGTAACCAGGGTTGGGGTCTTTGCTTTTGCCATGTTGCTCCATGGGTGGGTAGCCTTTCCGGGGAGAGGGGCAACCTTGTAAGCAGGGCGAGAGCCACCGTCTCCACGGCCTGGGGTGGGGGGAAGTGGAGCTCCTGAATATGGGGTGTTATGCTGCAGCCAGGATGGCCAGCCTGTAACCCGGGCTCTGTGGGGTTTGTTGGGAGTGCTGAGCTGAGGGGGAGACCGCCCTGTAAGAAGGGCTGTGGGTGGCCCCTGCGCTGGGCAGGAAGTGTTGGGAGGGACACCCAGAGACATCAAATGGGTGTCTCTGGCCCTGGCCTTTCAGAGGCGTGGGGCTGAGATATGTGGTTGGGCATGCCCTGCCCTCGGTCTCTTTCTCTCTGCTCTCAGCACCTGGGGCAGTTTAGGAGGGAGGACACTACTGGGGAAGGTGGGAGGCTGGGATGAAACTGTCTGGGAGCTTCCTCTGAGGTTGATGTCCCTCACTCCCCCGGGCGGTGGACCTGGTTTTTGAGTGAGCCCTCACTTCCTTGGCAGCCGCTCCTGGACAAGAAGAACATTGTGTGGAACGGTGCCAGTGAGCACCACGGGTGAGCTAGACGAGGGGCGGCGGGCTGAACACAAGAGCAGTGCCAACACCTTTAAGTGGTGGTGCACTGGGTGATCTCCCTGTAAACATGGCTGGAGTCTTTGGCCTTTTGCCACGATGCCCCACAGTTTGGCTGCCCAGAGAGCGTGGCAACCCTGTAAGGAGGGTGAGAGCCACCGTCCCCACACCCGAGGGGGAAATGGAGCTCTCTGGACCCCCAGGCCACCCTGTAAGCAGGGGCGGGCCATTTCCCTGCCCCACTCCTCTGCCCCAGCAGCCTTCTGCCTGCTGGTGGCCTACCCAGCGTGACCCCCTGTTGTCAGGGTGTGTCACTGCGTTTTCCCCTTGGCGTGTTGAAGCTCTCTGGCTTCCACGCATCCTGGGGCATAGTCTGAGCTCCCCTCTCCTGTTTGCGAGTAGGGTGACTCCCCAGACATTGGCTGCATGGAGCCCATGCTCTCTTTGTGGAACTTCTGTTTTTCCCTGTTTGTGTCTGTGGTTGAGTGTGTGTCTTTGTCTCTGTGTGTGTGTGTGCAGGAGAATGAGCTTGTTTAGGCCCTTGTTAAAATAACTGCAGCGTACTTAGCCTGAACTTCCCAGGAGAGCCGGGCTCTGTGCAGTAACAGGGGGGTCCCCTCTGAGTCCGCGAGCAGAGGGACGGTTTGAGCTCGCCCCTTCTTTCCACGGACGGCGCCAAGCCACTTAGTCGTGGTGCAGGCAATGCGACCTGCCTGTAGTCAGGACGTGGGTCTCTGCCTGCGTGGCTGCCTGTCCTGCTGGTGATGTGCCAGCGTGACCCCCTGTTGTCAGGGCGTGTCGCAGCATTTGCCCCTTGGCGTGTTGAAGCTCTCCGGCTTCCACGCACAGCCACAATAATCTGTGGAGCCCTATGTCCCCTAGAGCAGCCCCAGCTCGCTTTAAGCAGGGCTTGGGAGGCTGCCTTAGCCCATATGAACGAGCCCTCCCTCACCCTTTAGAGGGCACAGGCCCACCTTTGGCTCGGGTGACCTCCCCCTGGTTGGGGTCGAGGTTTTGTACTGGGCTCCCAGAAGTACAAGATGTTGATGATGATGATGATGATGATGATGATGATGATGATGATGTGCTGCAGCCAGGACTGCCCGCCCGTAGCTCAGGCGCAGGTCGGAGCCTCAGGCTCCGTGGGGCTTGTTGGGAGCGCTGAGGTGAGGGGAGCCACCCTGTAAGGAGGGCTGTGAGTATCCCCTGCTCCCAGTGGGAGTGCTGGGAGGGCCCCCCTGTAAGCAGGCGGGTGTCCCTGGCCCCAGCCTTGCAGGGGCAACAATTCGGAAGACGTGTCTTATGGCAGAACTGAAATGGCTTCTAAAACTCCAGGGAACGGCACTGAGCCAAGTACCTCCCCCAGACCCATAAAGACCCTCCCAAAAGCACTAAGGATGCTGTAGTATGACTGCAGCCCCGGTGACAGGGACGTCCCTTTGCCCGGAGTGCCTTTCTCTGGGCCCTTCTTCATCCCGCTGCTTCTCCTCTGGCTTGCTCTTTCCTTGGAGTTCCACACGTGAGGGATGCCTCCGTTTAACCTTCTCCTCCGGGGGCTGCTGCCAAGGAACCGGGGAGCCTTCGCCAACTCCTCCGCCCGGTGGACCGGGGGGCGACCGCCCCGGAGGAACATCCCTGCTTTTATTTGTCCAGAGTCCTGGGACTGAGAGCAGAGACCGAGCGGGCCAGGGCACGGCGAGGCGGGTGGGATGGGCGCAGGTTGAGGGTGGCCAGCGGCGCTTGCCCGCCTCGGCCACCACCCCGTTTGCAACCAGCTGCTCGGCGTTAAAGCGACAGCTTCTCCCCAGGGGGAGGGACCCACCTCAGGGGGTTCTGCCCAAGCCCCCAAACCCTCCCGGGAAATGCCCTTGCCAGAGCTTACAGCGATTCCGCTGCCCCTAGGGCAGGAACTGCCCCGCACTCTCCAGAGCGCGCAGCTGGCAGCCTGTGTGGGGTGACCGCCCCGCTAGCGGGGTGCGGGTCAGGGTGTACCTGAACGGGAGAGAGGGAGCCCCAGGGGACCTCGGGGACCAGGGCCGCCCCCTCCAGCCGCTGCATTGCACGCCCGGCAGCGCGTGCCCAGGGTGCCGCCTCCGAGCGCGCCCCCAGCGCCGGCGGAGTCCCGGAACCCAGCTCCGGTGAGAAAAGGCGAGTGCCGAGGTGTTGGGGGGGCGGCTGGGGAGTGTGGTGGGGAGTGTGTGCTACGGGGCCGGGCCCGCGTCTCTCTGTCCGCCCGGCGGAGCAGCGGGGACTGCTCGGCCCTGACCGCGTCCTCCTGTCCCTGCAGCGGCTGCCGGCGGAGGGGTCCGTCGAGCGTGGAAGGAGCAGCGGGGCAAGAGCCAGCGAGGAGTGGAAGTGCGGGAAGAACCGGCGAGACGCAGTCGTGCGCAGGAAATGTCCTGCAACAGCTGCTGTTGCTGCCGTTTTCCCAGCTATTCACTGCGGCGGGTACCCAATAAAGCGTTTTCTCCATCCGTCTTTTGTCCATTTGGCGATTTTCCGGCTCAGGTCTGTCCGGGCAGGGAAGGGGACGTAGGCCCTCAGGAGCGTCCCCCGCAGCGGGGCCGCTGCCGTCTCGCAGTCGTGGGACGGGGCGAGCTGCGGCTGCGGTAGCCGTGTTCCGGCTCCGCTTCCTCTGCCGCGGGGCGCGCTCCGCACTCCGGCGGAGCGAGCTGACGGCGGCCCGCGCAGGCGGCGTGGAGGCGCGCGCCCGTGCCCACACCCGGCATGGCGGCCGGCGGCTTCGGCAGCTCTCTCGTTCCGTTCGCTCGGGGCAGGTAGCGGGGTTCTCGGCTTCACATTCTCGGCATGGCTGCCAAGGGGGCTCGGCAGCGGCTGCGAGCTGGAGGTGGCGGGGAGGCGGCCCGACCGCGATCGGAGGCCGCGGTCACGGAGGAAGCCCGCTTGGAGTAGGTGCCGGGGCCGGCGTCGGGAGAGGGAACCGGCGGCGAGGCGGGGTTGGGACGCGGTGGGCGCCGGGCGCGTGCCCCCGCCGCCGGGCGATGCGCGCGGCCGCCTGTCGTGGGCGGGTGCGCAGCGGCATCCCCAGGCGCCGGCGGGGCCGGGTCTGCTGCGAGCTCCCGCCCAGGTACTTCCTGGTCCTTGCGTCCTGAAAGTGCCCGCAGCTCGGAGTGACCCCCCCGCAGGGGCTGGTGCGTACCCAGCCGGGTCCGTGTGTGCGCTGGAAATGGGATCTTCCTGGCGTCCTGGCGGTGGAGTTCCTCTCCGGCCTGTGGTTGCTCTGCGTGGCAGATCCTGGGGGCTGCCCTGCTGCCATGGGTTAAGCACGCAGGGCCCCTGTTCCATTATGGTGTGGTGTGGAAGATGATGCTTCCTTGGGAGGGGACAGGTATCCCCCAAAGAAAGGAGTGAATGACTCATTCATATTTAGGTGACAGAGATGCAGATGTGCTTGTCCGTTCTTTGCGTAGCGTCGCATTGTTAGTCTTGAGCTGGTTATCGAGTCTTCTGGGTGTGTATCTGTACTTTTATCTTTGGACTAGATCCTCTGGGAGCAAAGCAGGACAAGTTTGGGCTCCTGAAGGATCAACGGCTTTTAAGTGTCTCATTTCAGCCAGGTTCTGTGCGGCTCTCTTAAGCAACATCTCTGACTGCGATGAGACCTTTAACTATTGGGAACCGGTAAGTGGCTTTCTCTTCTCCAAGATACTTGAGAGTTTGTAGCTGGCTGTGCAAATGCAGGTTTATCTTGAACCTTGTGTTAATCTCTATGTTTGAAAGAGAAATTTTCTTAGGGATTCAGAGGTGAGAAATGCAAACCTGTCTGCTCTGTATAATGCATACTTATTTATTTAATCTGAATTGTAGACACACTACCTCGTTTATGGAAAGGGGTTTCAGACATGGGAGTACTCACCAGCCTATGCCATCCGCTCCTATGCTTACCTGTGGCTTCATGCATTACCAGCCTTGTTCCATGCTAGAGTTCTACAAACTAATAAGGTAAATGAGCCAGCTGTGTGAAAGTTTCTTTTCTGATCAATAAACATGCCTTTAGTCTGTGTTAAATAGGTGCTTTGTTTTGTTGTTGGAGTGAAAAGGACTGGTATTTACAAAACACCCCTTTGTTTACAAACACTTCCTTTCCTGTAATAATGTGCAAGGCTTTGTAAGCTGACTCAATGGGATCCAAGGAAAAGTGATTGGGAAGTTGCAGGAAAATCCCTTAAGGCTAGAATTTGATTGAGAAGCTGCCTCCAAGGGGCTAGTTACTGGGCTTTTGAGTGTATGCAAATCTGGGAACAGTTAGCTGGCAGCCCTTTGCTCTCATCCACTCTTGTGAGTTTCACCCTGATGTTTTAGAAGCCTGAATTGTTTTTTATGTCAGTTATCAGTGAGTGTTTGTTTGCTTGTTTTTCCAGTAAGCTATAATAATAAGTTACTATTTTGCAAGGAATATTGCAAACTGAACTCATTGAAATGTAAAAAAAAAAGCACCAAATGCCTTCTGTTTGGGTATCTATTGCCACACTTGGCATATTTCTGTACAACAGAAAACAAAAGGGGGTAGTTCTGTACGTTCAGTGGACTGTGTGCACTTTTCTGTGTTGTAAAGGACTTCAGTGTTAAGAGAGCTAGGCCTTGAGCTGGCAGGACATTCAGCATCCCTTGGGGTTGGGATTTAGGTCTCCCAAGAACAGGCTCTTTGACAACTACTACACTTGCTAAAAACTTGTTAAAATCAGGTACATGAGCTTTATTGCAAACCTTGTTCAGACTCCTAGTATGTCTCCTAGGTTCTTGTCTTCTACTTTCTCCGATGCTTCCTGGCCTTCCTGAGCTGTGTTTGTGAACTCTACTTTTACAAGTGAGTGTTAAAAGCTGTCTATAGGGAATGCTTTGGAGTCACGTAACATATTCAGTTATTGCAACAGGAAATACACTGTGAAGCTCATGTATCTGGTAAATTGGGCTACTTCACAGTGAACCTTTGAAACGTATTCTCACGATAACTTAATGAAATATTGGTCTGAATTCCACTGTTAGGACAAAATTATGTTCTTAGATCTGCCACCCACATCTCCATTCCAGTATTTTGTTGACTATACTCCTTTTCTCACTGATACCAGCAAGCAGGGTGGGTGTGTTGTAAATCAAGCTGTGCTGGAGGAGACACTGGTGCTGTGTTTGCTTATCATAGTGAATTTTAGTTTTGATTGTTGCTGTCTGTAATGTATTTGCTCATGGTATTTACATCCGCTAAAAGCAGTAGCCTGAACATGTAATTATCTTGTCTATACTAGTTTTTTAGTCTTACCTGCTGCTTCTTCATTTGGGGCTTTCAGACTATTAGCTTACATGATTTTTGTTTGCAATAGCCTGGTTTTTAGAATGCGAGCTGTGGCTTTTTGCACATTAGGGTTTTGTGAGGGGTGAGAATCTTAGACTGATGCTGTTACAGCAATGCAGGCTCCCTAAGTTCCTGAGATTTGTACAAACACAGCTGACACTGGTATAAGCCAAGTGTTTTGCACTAGTGTAATTGATGAGCATCTGAGATCCCAGGCCAGAGGCAGCTGTACTGCTCTTCAGGTTGCCTTCAGTGGCTGACTAATGAGACTCACCCACCGTAAAGGTGTCAGGATATTCCATGGATTGTTTATGGCTCTGCATGCATGGGATACTGTTTGTTTATGTACTGAGGATATTTTTGGCCTGTCTAATTCTCTCTTGCTTCCTTAGGGCTGTGTGCAAGAAGTTTGGGCTGCATGTGAGCCGGCTGATGTTGGCCTTCTTAGTACTCAGCACTGGGATGTTTTGCTCATCTGCAGGTAAGATTGCTTAGGAATAGGACTAACTATTACTTTGTAGATAGAAACCAAAGCCAAGTTCACAGAGAAGATCAACAGCACTAAAATATCTCTTTAGCAATTGTTTGTCATATTTTGCTGCATGTATTTGTTTGGCAGGTGTGATGACAGAATAGGTGTTGATTCAAATTATGTTCCCTGCATCATGCTCTTGTACCTTTCGGTTTCCAGGGTATGTTTGTTTTTATTGCTGCCTTCAGTTTCTCTGGGATGGGGCTTGCCTTTTAAAGAGGTTCTTGGAGGGTCATGTTTTAGCATTGTTGTCTGCTTAGGTGTCCTGTTCCCCTGGCTGGTTGTACACATTTGCCTAGCCAACCACTATAAGACTTACAAAACACCTGCCGAAGGTATTGAGGAGCGTGCAAAGGGAGACTTTGAGCAAAGGTTTTTTGTATTGTGTGCACACAGAAACTTAAAGGGAAGTACCACGCTTTATGAATGCTGAGATTTCCTATTTTACCCTTTTTCTGTTTATGGTCAGTGGAGAAAGGACTTTCCCTTTGTTTTTGCACTGTCATGGGTCTCGTTCTTCACTTCTCACCAGTCTCTGCTCAGTTGTTTCAGAGATTGTATCCAGTCTCAGCTCACATCTGCTGTCACTTGAGCAGGTTCATTTCATTCTTTTCTTAACCTAGCAGAATATGGAGGATACAGCAAGTGTTACAGGTGGTAACTGTGGATGCTGTCAGTTACCCCTGCTGACTGCAACCAAGGAAAGAGGCCTTCATGCTTAAAGTATTTCTTGTCTTGGCAGAACAAGAAAAAGAATCCTCTTTTATTTTTGCTTTCACTTAGATGAACATGTCCAGTACAGCATCCCTATTCCAGTGGAATGAATGAGAGATTATTAGTCTTATCTTGGCCTTGTGCAGTTCTCCCACTGCAGGAGAGCTGTGCTAACCCATTTTTTTCCTTGTGTTGCAGCTTTTCTCCCCAGCAGTTTCTGCATGTACACCACAGTGATTGCCATGACTGGCTGGTACATGGACAAGACCTCTGTAGCTGTGCTGGGGGTGGCTGCTGGAGCCCTTCTGGGCTGGCCCTTCAGTGCAGCTCTTGGGTAAGGAGGGGAGGGTTTAGAAGTTTTGTGCTTTGCAAATGTTTCTTGCCTGGTTGGGGAGAAGGTAGGGGCTGGAGGAAGAAACTAGCAGGGATCAAGCTGCCAGCCTAGTCTAGGATCATTGATACAGGCTTCCATAGCCTGATTTCTTTGCTTTTGAAGGACCTAGGTTGGGACCATTTTCCTTACCCTAATATACTGAGGGTGAAACCAAAGTTGGATGACTGGAATATGGAGTAGAGGCAGAGACCAGTGAAGTTATGGCTATTTTCCAGCTACTGTCTCCCTTGGTTTGATGGGGTAGAAGAACCTGCAGTGGGGGAAGACAATGTCTCCAGTTGATAGCTGGTTTCTCTTTCAGGCTTCCTATTGCCTTTGACTTCTTGATACTGAAGCAGAGGTGGAAAAGTTTCTTCAACTGGTGCGTGGTGTCATTGATCCTGTTTTTGGTAAGTGCCTGCAACAATGCAGAGAGGGAGTGGATTTGGCTTGCAATAGAAAGGGTGGGTTCTGTTAAGAAAATCACGCGGAGTTTTTGGGCAGTCTGTCCAAAAGCTTTTGGCGCTTGAAGTAATAGATGCTTTCTTCCAGGTGCCCTTGGTAGTTGTGGACAGCTATTACTATGGGAAGCTGGTAGTTGCACCTCTCAACATTGTTTTATACAATGTCTTCACCTCTCACGGACCTGATCTCTATGGTGAGTTTAACACAAGACAGGAAGGGAGTCAGCGGTTTTCTTTACTGTCTTGCTCCCGTGACCCATCAGATCTTGATTGCCAATCCTTTTTCTGGCGTACTCTTAAAGCAAAAGCAGCCGCCAAGCTCCATGGGGATGCAGTTCCAGCTTTTTGCCACAGGATGTCTCTCTCGAGCTGGGAATCCGCAGGCCAGTGTCGGATTTCTGCACGCTGTTAAGATGTTTTTATTTCCTTTCAAGCTTTGTAACCCGTCGTGAGATGCCTTAGGGTCACAGCAGAGAACTGTAGTAGCAAACGTGTCTGGATGCTACGCCAGTGCTGTGGGCGCAAGCAATACGTGTGTGTGTGTTTGTAAGCTTTAATGGAGTTCTTTGTCTGTTACAGTCATGGTGCTGAACCTTGGGAAAGTGGGTAACAGTGCAGAGTCTGTAACTCTTTAGGTGCCAGTATCCTAAATGGCCAATACTTTTTAAACCTTGATGGCAATGCTGTGGTCTTTGTCTGGGAGCTGCCACTGCACTAAGTTGTTCATACCATCTTATTTCTGGAGCTGAAAAGCACAAAATTACATTGCTAGCAGGGCTTCAGAGAGGCTGGCAGAGACCTCAGGGAGCTTAGGGTGTAGGGTCCTTGCGTCATCTGTCATCTGTTTCAGCCCTGTTGAGATATTCTAGGAGGGATTCAACAGTGGTTAGCAGCAAGGCTGCAGTGCCCTCCAGGCCATATTTGCTGGTTCATTTGTAGGCCTGCTTTGGGTGGTGCTGAGTGGTGATTTGTTACTTGTGCTGTGACACAGCAGGGCAGCAGCTGCTTTGCCATGTTTCTTCGTCTCTGCAGGAAGGCTGTTAAGTCAGTTGCTGTGAATTTTCTATAAGTAAACTCCAGGCTTTGTCTCTGATAGGTTTTGGCATGGGTTTCTGCTTGACCTTTTCCACAGTGGTGCATGAGTTGTTTCCAGAAGCCTCCAGGGACCAATCTATTCTGAAGTGTTTTATTCATAGTGACATTCATATAACATCCTCAGGCTAGTAAAAGAGCTTGCTTGAAAGTGCTCTTTAATGCAATGCGGCCAGGACAACACTGTGTGTTTAGAGAGCTTCAAGACACTTGGGAGAAATAACACTGCCAGGGGAGATGAGAGTCTGGCCAGTCCCTTTTGGCTCTGGAGCTGGGATTTCCCAACTTTCACATAATGAGAGCAGGAGCTGCTGGAGGTTGTAGAGTCATCAACCCTTATCATGTTCAGTGTAAGCACCACAGTATTTTTCCTTTTGCCTGCGTTCTGGAGTTCTGGAGGCAAGATTTTTTTGTTTGTTTGTGTTTTGTTTTTTCTTCAGCAACTCACTTCTGGATAAATACAGCCTGTGCAATAAGTATTTCCCTGGGGTGATTAGATTTCTCCAACTAAGGGAAAGCAGCTTCTAAGCCTATATCCTTAAGCCTGATTCTGAGGCTTTGGGGTGTTTCTGTCTATTTCTTCCAAGAATGCGTAATTTATGACAAAGGTTTGGTCCCACTTCCTGTAATCAGCCTTGGCTGTGACTTGCAGGGTGATGGAACTTTGGAAAGCTTTGTTCAGCTTGGCTGGGAAGGTGCTGGAGCTTATTTATATGATGTATTGCTCTGTTGAGTCCTGGTTCTTAAACAGAGTGAAAATAAGTGAAATGCAGAAAGTAGACTATTTATTCTACTTGCACTGAATCAGGCTTGCTTAGAAAGAGGGTTGTGACTCATGATCAAATTATTGTGGCTTAGTTCCTGCTCAACAGCTGAGCTACAGTTCCTGCCTGCATGCAGGTTTTTAGCCTGTGACAAACACGGGGCGGGGCACCATAGCTTAAGTTTATCCTACAACTGCTCTGCTTTGTGAGTGCCCTCACCATTGCTGTGGTCAAGCTGCAGCATGGTGGTTTGTTAAGTTCTGTGAACTTGTGTGTGAGTTTGATTTCTGGAATTGTTCCCAGAGCCTGTCACAAAGCACAAAGTTCAAACTGGTTTCTGGCTCAGAGTCTGACAGTTGGTTATCCCCATGGAACCATAGTGCCATGGACTGACTGGGCTACAGAGTGCTTCCCACCGCTTTCATCAGTGTTGCCTACAGCCCATATCTGCTCAGCTCTAGCATGTGGCATACTTGCAAGAAGTTAAATCTTCTGTCATGATCTGAAGATGATGCTGTGGAAGCATGTTCCCAACAGTACTGTGCATGGAGAGTTCTTTAGTGTCCCTCCTCGCTTGAAGGACATTGCTCTGGGCCAGGACTTCTTGCACTGGGGTTGCTCTTTTTTTTACATTGCATTCTTTCTCAGATCACTCTGGGTCGTTGTGGATAACAAGAATAAAAGCATTTTGCCCTGGGAGGCATTGAGACTGAATGCCTCTGAATGGGTGAGTCATCACAGTGACCAAGCCTACTGCTTTCTGCCTGGTGTCTCTGAATTATTTAATTTGCCTGTGTGCACTGTTCTTCTCTTTGTTTGTTTGTTTTCCTCATCCAGAGAAGAAAATCCCTCACTGGAGAAGGAGGTTCCAGTGCTTCAGTCTTAAGGGCAGTTCAGTCACACTGAAAAAAGAACCCTGAGAAAGTGGGAAAGTAGTCTTTCTGTTAAAGCTGCACTTCAAACCAGCTGACCTCTTTATTAGCAGAGCCCCTCAGGGCCTTTAAGGCTGTATCTGGATTGCACAGGAGGTGTGCTTCATGAAGTGTCTGTCATTGCTGAGTCCCAGGCTACCATATCAGGGAGCAGACTAGAGAAAGCCATAGTTAATTTCCTTTACTTGCCATAGCAGCCAGGGCAAGTGGAAGGGTGACGGAATGGTCCTTGATACAATCCTTTAAAGATCTGGGACTTGGCTGTGCAGCTTAACTGCAGCCAGAAAACGCCAGAGGGTTAACAGTTTGTATCAGTTTAAGAAGCTTTCTGTCTCATTCTGGCATCTTCTGTGATAAAGTGGCTGTGGTTCATAGCAGTGGGAGTGGGGAAGCAGGCTACAGAATCCAAATCTAGTCCTTTTTTTTTCCATATAGGGAGTGGCCTTGGCGTTCCACTGAAATAGTTACTAGAGTGGCCGAACCGTGTTAACCTGCTTTAAGTCTTTGAAAACCTGCACTATTGTCTCAGAAGAGAATCTGTGGAGGCAGCAGGGCTGGGAAGAAAGCAAAGCCTCCTTTGCACAAACGTTTTGTGAATGTCCACTGAGAGATTTACAGTGTGATAGCCCACACTGCCTCGGGTTTTCCCTCACAGACATATCACAGTCAGCAGCTCTCATCTCTAGGAAGGGTAGTATGCTTTAGTCCTAAAATAATATGCTTTCTATATGTGCTCAAGATCTATCACGGTGATTATTTAGAATTGCAGTCCTTAAATATGGAGAGTGCCCAACAAAGTCTAGAGAAGGGGGAAGGGTCGTTGTTACTATTAGAATGTTGCCATACAGACAACTGTCATGTCCATCATTTGGCATGATCTTTCAATCTGCAGTACCCCATGTTCAGCCTTTCACAGGCTGAGGATTTTTTTCTTGTAGGACTTGAAAGAATTAAGAGGCAGTTGGAGGGAATGCCCCCTAATCCTCAAAATCCAAATCTGTAATTGCTGTTTGCTTTCAGTGCTTATAGTTAAAGGTTTCCTAAATGAACCTCTGTTGCTTGGACTTGGCCTTAGTAACTCCAATGACATGTTTCTGACATTACTAGTGCAGCTTCTAATCATACTTAGATGTAGGAGCTGCAGAGGTTTCAGGTTTTCCTTGCTGCTTTTCAGTTGTCTGATTAATTTCAACATGGACCCTATTTAAGTGGCTCTGATTGCAGGAAATTGCTGTGGCATGTGACGCATGTCACAACAGTGCAGTGATTAAAGCCCCCGCGTGTCATTTACTGACTGATGGAGCTAATCAAACTGAGAGAGTGGAAAATGTGTGAGAGGAACTGGCATTCCTTATTGTTCACGATTTTAAGCATCCTGAATTAAGAGTCCAAATAAATGACAGTTGGACTGTGGAATTTCTTTCAATTTATATCATTTGAAGCTTGCAGCAAATACTCAAGTGTGTCATGGTAGGAGGCACAGTTGGTTTGCTCCTGTTTGAAGCTACTCTGTAAGAACTAATTGAAGCAGGGATATTTTAAATAGTGTTGATTCTAAGAAGGCACCAAAACTAGCATCTGAATGAACTTTAATGGCAGAGTCTTCGCTGGGGAGAAGTGTGAACGTGAACTCTTTTTCTTGTTCTTTTTTAGTACATTTTCTGTTCTGCCAACATGGAGCATACGTCATCACTCCAGCATTATAATGATCCTTCATTAACATTGTGGTTTTTTGTATTATTCCTCTGTTACTCCTCTGCAATTAGGAAGAATTAATTTGGAGTAGAATTTCCTAGTTCTACAGATTTCTGCCTCCAATTTCTTGCTGTGGAGCCTTTCTTAATGCAAGGGTGAGTTCTGTGTCACACAACTCTCCTGGGCAAGCCTGACTGTTAGAGTGGCCTGTGATTCATGAGCAGCAGGTGTGATAATGACTATGACCCAGTGAAAAAGGAAGGAAAATAATGGTAATTTCTGAAAGGGAAGACAATGAATTTTTGTGGGCAGCCATGCTTGTGAGATACTCTGGTGCCTTTGTATGGCTATTGACTAACTCGTGCCACTGTTACGATAGTTTTATGGGTGAAGGGCAGAACAATGAGACTGCTTTGAGATGGCTCAGGCTTATTCCACGTGTCTGCATCCTCTGTCCAGTTGCAAGATGTTCTGTCCACACCCTTTCTATTCTTTGGTTCCACTATGCTTGCAATGGGGAGAATTGATGTCTGCTGCTGGTTATCTCAGCTTGTGTAAGGCAGAGAAGGAATGAAGCTGCTGTTACACCTAGATCTCATGCATGCTTGTATCTAAAAACTCTTGTTTCCTTTCCTTATCCTTTAGGAACGGAACCCTGGTCCTTCTATTTCATCAATGGCTTTCTGAATTTCAACGTGGCATTTATTTTGGCGCTGCTTGTGCTGCCATTGACTTGTCTCATGGAGTGTTTGCTTCAGAAATTTCATGGTGAGTGCAAGACAGCTGTGAGAGCCAAGCACAGACAGCCCAGATCTCAGCCTTGTTGCTAAAGCAAGAGCTTTCCTGCCAAAGAGCAGCTTTGCTTTATTGGAAGTGAAACTAGGTTCACAAGAAAGTCTTTGGAGTAACAGGAAAGTTCCTAGTGTTTATTATTCAGTCCAATATTGACTCCAGTTGGAGTTGCTCTGTAGAAAGAATGCACAGTGAGATGCATCTACATACGTGTTGTCTGCAAAAGGGCAGAAACATTGCTCTTCTTAAGGATGATTCCTGTGTTCTCTGCCTCCAACTCAGGAGGATCGGCGTGTTATCAAGGCTGAACTATCCATACCCAGAGTAAGCTTAGCAAGTTGTATGGTACATAACCATCAGCCATACATGCAAATGCATTAGAAATACCCCCATCAAAAATCTTATGGGAGAAGGAAACTAAGTACCCATTGTTGTTTCCATCTTATGTGCTCCTGAAAATGGTAATCTTTAGAGTTATTTGGGGAACCTTTTACTGCCTCTTCCATTGCTACTTTTTTATACCACTGCCATAATGATTTTTAGCAGCAGTTTTTGAGAACAGAGTTGTTATTTCCTTTTTGATTGTTAGGGCAGAGCCTACAAATAGGCATCCTCCGGTCTCTGCTGCTCATGCCCATGTTGGGAGCAGCACTCTTCAGCTTGCGGGACTTAAGATCTAGCAGGGCAGTCTTGATACCACGTGCTTTGGGAAGCCTTCCCCATAGGTGTGGGTATACTGAAGTAGAGAAAAGAGGAACCAGAATATTCCCTACTTCACGTTGAGCTTTCTGTTAAATGAAATGCCATCAGTTTAAAAACATGACATTTGGCAATTGACTCTAGAGAAGAAAAAGGTGTTGAGGAAGTGTGGATTCTTCTTCACAGTTTTCTTAGGAAAGATTCATTAAGTGTCATCAGCAGCCTCCATATTCATTGGTCCAATTAGTGCTTCACTCTCATTTTTTTACTGAATACAAGAAACAAAAGCATCATAATCCTTGCTGAAAATGTACGTCAGCAGGTTTATTCCTTATATCTGTTCCTTTTATATAAGGGACATACTGTCAGAAACCAGTAAAAGCTCAATAGGAGATCCTCTAAATGCAAGATTTCCTGCTGTTCACTTGGTGTTCTTGTACTTAACAGCAGGAATGATTCTGCCAACTGCTTTGTTCTTATTGTCTGTGAAATGCCATTAGCTTAATTGTTTAACTCTTCTGTTGGGAGTACCAAGGGGGCAGAAAAGGGACTGAAAATTGTCAGGCGCTGTAGAACCCTCCTCAGTGTGACTAAAATTCAGGGTAATTGCTATTTTTGAATCGGTTATTTCCTCTGTTAAGCAGAATGTGCCTCTGAGACCTCTCATGCTGTTATTTTTGTAATGAAGCAATGAAGGTAGTGGAAATTTCAGTCACTAAACAACCATTTGTAAGTGGAAGGGTAGGTTCAGAGGAGATCCTATCTGATCTTTTCATGTGCAGCATAATATACAGCAGGAAATCTAGTGGCTGCCTGTTTAGACATGTAAGTTCTTGATGGGTGTGTCTTTAGCTTGAATTCAGTAACAGTCCCTTATTTTCTGCTTTTGGTCTTCTAAAGTCTGTTGAAATTGTTAGCATTGTAGCAATCTATGAAAATCCTTAGATCAAACTCTGTACTGACTCTGAATATGTTACCTAGATTTTAGCACACAGCTGCTCAGAACATGGTGTGTTTGGGTCTGAAGGCAATGGTTTGGGTCTGAAAAAAGGGAATTTTGATTGTGAGACTAAGGATAAAGCCCTTATTCTTATGTTACTGCTTTGCTGAGTGTTTGTTTCTTTCAGTTCAGAATCTGGGCCGTCCCTACTGGCTGACACTAGCTCCTATGTACATTTGGATCATGATTTTCTTCAGTCAGCCCCACAAAGAAGAGAGGTTTCTCTTTCCCATCTATCCCCTCATCTGCCTCTGTAGTGCTGTTGCTCTCTCTGCTCTTCAGGTAAGTTTAAGTGGAACATGTGTTTTTTAATGAGCTCATACCTTTAGGAAGCATATGTGTTAGCTGACTGCTTTAACATTGCTTCCCAAAGTAAGGGAGCATCTTCAGAATATTGTGTCTGTGACACAGCCTGTAGTGATTACATAGTTCAGGACTGTGTCCTATGCATAACTTTTGATCATTGCCTTCAGTATGTTAGCTGGTACAGTTTTATTTTTGAACCATGTGTTACGGATAGGTCTGAGACTCTGGAAGCAAAAGACACAGCTGTTCTAACACTGTGTGTGTGTGTCTTGCTGATTTTACAAGCTGAACCATAATCTTCCTCTGCAGGTTGATTTAGAGTATGTGGAAAACTATTAGCCCTCTGTAAGATGTGGTGTAAAAGCAAAAGTGTTTGGGATTTCCCTCCCACGTGTCATACAGAATGAACTCATCTAATAATCTTGGACTTCAGTGCAGACTGCTTAACAGCCCAGCAAAAAAAAGATCAGATTTCATGGCTTTATAAGGTGATCAGAAGTGAAGTGATAAACGGTTGAGAACATTTCCTTGCCACTAATTATTTCATGATGACTTCAAGTTGTTCTCTCATCCCAAGTGGGAATTTCTGGTGAGGAAAAGTTGTAGTGCTGTAGAGTCAATACAAAACAGCATCCAAGAGATGTCATAAGGATTAGTAACTTATAGCATTGTGCCTCCTTTGTCTGCTGTTAAGCAAGCTTTAAGGGGTAGGAATGTGTGTATGTAGGAAATATATTTTGTTGTATTCTAGTAAGAATCCTTTGTTAATTTACAAAAGGGAAAGCGATCTTGTTTAGGCGTCGGGAAAATGCGTTGGACATTTGGAAGAGCCAAAAATTGGATGTTTAGAAAATATCACTTGAAACACTTCACAGAGTAAAGCACTGATGTAGATTGATATAGATCTTTCCAAAGCTGAAAATTATTCATCTTTCCTCTGTTAGAGAGGTGCAGGAATGCAGTTACTAGTCTGTTTGATCTTCTTCCAGCTGTTTGGCCTCATTCTGCTATTACTCCTCTGTCCTGCCATGCATCACTGATGGCTGTTCTGTCCTGGGCTCCCCACCACCATTTCCTGCATCCCTCAAATCACACTAACTCTTTCCCTGTTCAGTTGCTATTCTGACGTTGATCTTCCATCACTACTGGTGCTTTGCAGTGCTAAGCTCGAGCACCTCAGATGAGTTTCAGTCCTTACATTTGCACAGGGTCAAGCTCTGTAATGTCAGCAGCTTCATAGCCCTGAGAATTGCTATGTGCTGTCAAAACATTCATCGAGGGCGGTGATTTAGTACCTTGCCAAATATGGCTTTAGGAAAATCTGTGGTGTATTTCTGTCCTGCATATTTTGACAGTTTGATAACATGTTGTCCAGTATTTAGTATCCAGCTGAGAACTTAGAACTGATTGCCCACCAGTACAAGCTTGTCAGAGTCTACTCCTCTAAACCATGTGCATCTGGCTGTTATGAGAAAAATGCAAACAAGACAAGAGGAACAGAAACAAGATTAGAATACGATGTGAATAATCACTCCTGCAGAAAGGCAGAGGAGGAGGGATGGACTAAGCAGAGTATGGATGTAGTTCTGGGTATTCCGAGAAAGGCTTTTAAAATGGTAAAACTTAAAGGGCTTTCCTTTAATAATTTCAGTGGCTGATGTTTAAAGGTGGATGCAGAATGTGCTGTGTATTTTTATCCACTTCAAAGCTGTACTTTGTGCAGACAGGGTAAACAACCATAGGTCACTCAGTAAATCTGGGTTATGGAACTTCTGTTAGAGAGGAAGTCAGTCCAGCATTGAAAAAGAGGCCTGTCTATGTAGGGAAGTACTACAGAAGTGCCCGAAAGGGACAGTTGCTGCTGATTCACCTGGGAACAAGCAAGCTGGAGCCCTGTTAGAGAACAGTTCACAGTTTGACTAAAGGCTTTCCTAGGGAAAAGAGCTGAAAATGTCTTTCAATACCCTAGATTATCAGTTAAGAAAAATGATCAAGCCATGTGAAGTTCTGTGCATTTTTTATGGATCTCAGTAAAAAAATGAAGATCAATGATCTGGTGGGGGTTGCAGGCACTGCTTAAAGGTCCTATAAAAAAACAGAAATTTGCTGAAGATATCACAGTTGAAGTAATTTTATGCTCTCTCTTTGTTTAATCCTTCCTCAGAAATGTTACCACTTCATATTCCAGCGCTACCGCCTGGAACACTACACAGTCTCCTCCAACTGGTTGGCTCTGGGGACTGTCTTTCTCTTTGGCCTTTTGTCATTGTCACGCTCTGTTGCCTTATTCAGAGGTTGGTATATTAGATTTGTTCTGTGCTTTCTTGGGTATTGGTCTTGGCAAACCTTAAGGCCTGCCAAAGTTGTGTTGCTTTGACTGTAGGAACCTTGTAACCTTGGATGTCATTGAGGCAAAGGTGTAAGTTTTAATGGTCACCGTTAATGAATGATTGCATGTGTGTCTTTGTATATGCATATTTGTATGTATATATTTGTAAGTATGTATGAACGTACGTATGTATTAAATGCATATGAATGAATTACTAGAATTTTATTAGTGAAAAATCTGTTGCCTTTCACCTTCAGCCAGTGCAACTATACTGGTATAAAACCTGTATCCAGACTGGTATCAGAGCAGATACTGTAATTTTCAAACATGATCCCACTCGAAAAAGCAGTTTTCCATTTAAAACTTGTGATTAGGTGCATGTGTCCTTAATGTAGATGGACTATATAGGGTCCTTAAGTACTTTCTTGGATCAAAGCCATGCAGTGAGCCTTCTAATCTCATCAGTATTTTTTTGCTTGATGGTAGCCATTGACAGTCAGGACAGGAGAATGTGAATAAGGGTGGTAGGGTACAAGCATTGCTAAATTGAGGGGGACCTTTTGAATTCAGCCATTTTTTAGCATAGTGCAATTAATTTATTCAAGAAATTATCAGTTAAATGGTTACATATAAGCAATTTATTGTAGTCTTTCAAAAAGAGTCATGTAAATATCACCTATTTCTTTACCTTTATTTAAACTTTCTGCCTCCTGTAGGCTACCATGGGCCCCTGGATCTCTACCCGGAATTTCACAGGATTGCTTCTGACCCAAGCATTCACACTGTGCCAGAGGGGAGACCGGTTAATGTCTGTGTGGGAAAGGAGTGGCACAGATTTCCAAGCAGCTTTCTCCTGCCAGATAAGTAAGTCATTTAATGTAAAAGGCACAATTTGGTGAGATTCACAAGAAGGGGTGTTTCTCGTAAGAATTATTGATGGGAGTAACCTTCAAGACCTTGCATATGTGATGACACCAGTCTATCCAAAACAAAGGGTTCTGAAGTTTGTTCTCATCAGACTATGTTGGCCACAAGCTACTGAAAATTTGTAGTGTGACTGCTCCTCTAGCAGGTCTGCCTGCCTTCAGGAGTGAAATGTCCTTCGTTATGCTTTTGGTTTTCTCAACACAAAATGTTACTAGCTCCTGCATTTTCCTGCTAGCCTTTCTGACACTGTTCTCTGCAGTTGGCAGCTCCAGTTTATCCTCTCAGAATTCAGAGGTCAGTTACCAAAACCATTTGCCAAGGGACCAATGGCCACACGGATCATTCCCACTGATATGAATGACCAAAACAAGGAAGAGCCATCTCGATATGTAAGGATTATATTCCTGTTTTCTTTACCTTACTGTATAATTTGTATTAGTATAATGCATATGATTGGGTCTCCACATTTTATTTCTGTGGGACTGTACAAGTTACAGAAAAAGATGGGCTCTTTGCAGCACTTGGAAATTTCTCCGTTTATGTGAGTGGTTTCTGTTTGCGTTTTATCTGCTTATTTTTATTTAAAGACATAATTAAAAAGGAGAAATGGAAGTAATAATTCTTACTTATTGCAATTTTGGGTTTAGTATAATGTGTTACTGTGATCACAGTAAAGTGAACTGAATGAGTAATTTGAAATCCCCTCAGAAAGTGTTTGTCACTAAGCAGGGACTTAATTTTTCCTTTGTATTTTCCGTTCTTTTAAAATATAAATGTTTACACCATAATTGCAACTGAGAAGGAGGACTTAATTTGGAACTTTACTGAGACAATTCCATCAGTGACTTCAATGGGAATCTGTAAATATATACTGGTGCTATGAATTTGTTACTTTGCTAGCTTGTATTGTGTTACCTAAACAAAAACCAGTGCACACGTATGAATGTTAAAGTTATTGTCAACTGACTTCTTTACAATTATTGAGCAGGTTAAATCTTAGCAGTGCACTAAATATTCTTTGCAGTATTTAGTCATCCTTTCTTTTTTTGTCCAGAGGGCTGAATGAGAGGAGCTGCCAAGAATTGCCTAATATTGTCTTCATTCTCTCTTAGCACCTTGGAGGGTACCTTTGATATGTCTGTCAGTATATAGGAAGCACCCACATGTAATGGACCAGGTCTTTGGTTTGCATGAATGATCTGGCTGAAGACGGTAAACATATACTTCATTATGTGGCTCCTGTCTTTTGATCTGTTAAGACATTGTACAAGCACTTTGTCATCTGCTCAGAAAAGTGGATACTGTACTGTCACACAGGAGCAAATCTTGTGGGTAAAAGCAGGGATCAGGCTTCTGGGTTAAAACACTCTTATTTTGAGCCTCATTATGTAGTTACTGGAAATGGGAAGGAGGCGTGTTCCCACCTGAGAGAAGCTGTCTGCTGCAGTGTATTTAATTTACCAAATCTTTAACTGTGGCATATTTTTAGCACAGACAGCTGGCTGGTGAGCAGCCTGTGACTAATGGAGCAAAACACACTTTTGTTTCATGGTTGTTTCTTAATGTCACCCTACAATTTTATTATTTATTATTTCTTATGCAAGCAAAAGGGCCTAGGGCATCAGAAGTTAGCTACAAAATGTGAATTTTAAATGGAGTCCTAAAACTTTTCCTTCTGGCCTGCTAATGACACCAAGAGAACAAGATCTTTTTTTCAGGCTTAGAGAGCTTATAAGTGCAAACGTACCCAGATTGCTTTAAAAAATAAAAAGCTACCAAGCACTGGAAAGGACCATCATAGCAAATAAATCTAACCAGCATGAGTCTATTGGTCATTTAAAAGGGAGAAAACAAATCATTTAAAAGGATTATTTGAGCCATGGGGCTTAAAACCAATTAATGGCTGCAGAAACAGGACTGATCTCTCAGTTTCAGGTGTAAGTATCTATTACCGCTCTGCTTGAAAATTGAAGAGTAAATCTAGGTGTTTCTGTTGCTATGAGACACTGGGGAAAAGAGTGATCTGATCTTCTTGTTTTGCAATTCTTCCTTCCTTAATCATGTTGAACAGCACTTTACTTGTACTTGTCCTATTTTGGAGATGCATTTGTCTCTGAAACTGCTAAGAATGAGATAAGGAGCATGGTTTCTTACAAGGATGTATCCAAGCAGGAACAGTGGATAAGGCCTAAAAGCTGAAACTGTTAAAAACTCCTCCCTTCAGAGTTGTTGTTTGTTAAGCCACTATTTTCGCTTCTTTTCCAATTGCCTTTAGCACTGTTTTGAATGGTAGAAACCACCTGAAGCTTGGTCCTATTTTTGAAATATGTGTTTGATCAGTAAAAAGTCTCCGGTTTTGCTCAAAACAGTTGAACTTTAGCTGTGGTAAACCAGACAAGCTCCAGACACTGAGACACATTCGGCTACAGCAGTACAGCAACAGGCTGTGCCCTTAGCTTCATCTCTGTGCTATACTGTGCCCGCTCCTGTTATTCAGGATGTGATCCAATTCAGTTCTCCACCACTTAGCATAGCGGTTGCATTGAACAAAGGAAGAATGAGAGGAGGAAAAGGAAAGGAGAACAGAAGAGGAGAGGATGTAATTCCTTACAGTTCTGTTCCCTAAAGCTGACTTCTTTCTACAAAGAAACACTTCAAGGCCTGTACACCACTGAAGTCTTGTGTAAATCCCCAAATAAATGCGTGCATTCTCTGTTTGCTCTGTGACCAGGATGAATATTACCCTTAGCTTCAGTGTAACTTGAAAGAATGCACTCTGCTCTACTGGCAGTGGTAGAAGGGAAATCTTTCTTTCACCTGGCAGAAAATCCCTATGCACTGTAAGTACCAACCCTTTAGGGAGCATTTAGAACGACAGAAGAAAGATCAGCCTTAGAGCTTGAGGCAATAACTTATATTTCTCTGAATGATTCTACATCCCTTAGAGAAAAACTTCATTAATGGTTTGGGAGTCTTTTTGCTAATGAGCCAGAACCTCTCTCAGAGCCTGAAATGTTCTCTCATACAGTGCAAGTGGATTCAACATTCTCCTCAGCTGAGTTTCCCAGGGTATGATCTCATTTGCCACTCAGTTTTGATGCCACAGAGCCATCTGGTATCCACCTGATAGAACTTGCTTTGCTCAAGTGGCTGAATATCATTATGCCAGCAAAAGCTCAGCCTTGCTGCTGTCTGCTGCATCTGTGAGGGGCTCATTTTTGTTGCATTGTAATAATACAGCTACCTTGGTGCACTTTAAACATGTGTTAGGCTTGGGATTAGTTCACTACTGAAAACATGCCATAGATCACTTAAAGACAATGAGATCTTCAATAGGAGGACTTCAGCCCTTATTTGCATCCTATTCTCACCTCCTAGATGTCTTACACTCAGTGCAGAGGTTTCTACACAATGTAGCCTCTTGTTGGACTACCTTGTATGAAACTTAACCTCTAATGGATATTAATACAGTTTGTCCTGGTAGGAGCTCAAGTTGTCTTTGTCGCTGAAAATTTGTATTGTCTTGGCAGTTATTCCTCAGCAACTATGGGGTACCTGTGAGGAGGGGGCTGTTAGCCAGAAAGGAGACAGGGTATTTGTATAAATGAATACATCCTGTTCATATCCAAGAGCACTCTCCCCAGCAGGAAAGAGAAGGTTGCATAACGTGAGTCTTCTGAGGACATTGCCCACAGCTCATTTAGCTGGGCACATACGTAATTCATCTGTGTGACGCTGCTTCCTTGAAGTGGTACTTCCTCAGAGATGGACCCTCTAACTCTCCCCTTGTAATCAGACCAGTAGTGGTATTCTGTGTTCCCTCAGAAAGGTTTTACTTGAAAATGTCCAAAATATTTTACCATGTGTCCTGCATGAAGCATTTCACCCATTGCTAGAAATTTAACCCCTTCTCATCGATAAGTAACAGCCTGTATGAATGAGCATATGCAACTAGAAGCCTACTGGGAATAAAACACACGAATGTCTGTCTTTCTGCAGATTGACATTTCCAAATGCCACTATCTCGTGGACTTGGATACAGCAGCTGAAACCCCAAGGGAGCCAAGGTACTCTGCCAACAAAGAGGACTGGGTAACCATTGCCTACAAGCCATTCCTAGATGCTTCCAGGTATGCTTTACATGTTTGAGAGGGAGAGAGAAAGACTGGCAAGTCTGTGAACTAACTCTGTTCAGTTATCCACTTGCAAAAGTAGCTGTGTATAGGGGGGAAAGATACACTGGCAAACGCTAGCTTGTAATCTAGCTTCCAGTACAGGCAGCTTGCTGGCTACAGTGGAACCTTTGTCAAACTTCTGCTTGCAAAAGTGATGCCTTAGATTGCTTTGAAGGGTGAGTTGGGAAGGGTGTTGAGAAGGATTATTTTTTAAAAGAACCCTCCGTGTGCACTTCTTGCTGAAGTAATGTTTTTAGTTTTGCTTTCTAAGGAGATGAGGTGTAGTTTCCTCCAACAGACTTTTGAATCTGCTGACTTGTTCCAGCTAAATTCAAGGCAGGTGTAAGTCAGTCTCAAAGAACATGAGATCTTAAAGTTTTATGAAAGGTGGCAGTCTCGTCAAGTCAGCAGGATCCCACCTTTATTAGGCTTCAGAGAATCCATGGGAGAGACCTGTGTTAGAATATGTTTTTTATTAGTTCTGCTACTCACTGAATAACTTGCTTGTGTGTTTGAACAGGAACTTCTGTGAGAAGCAGAGATTGCAATTGCTCTTCTTCAGGCTAATAAGGGGTGGAATCAGGGTTGTCAGAGTGGTAATGCTGTTAATACATTCCTGCAAATACAGAAACGCTCAGCTGTAAGGGGATGGTTATTTCATATAAAGTCATTTAAAGCTCTGGTCACGTGTCTGTCACAACAGGACAGCTCTGTAAAAAAAAATCTCTGTAAAAAAAAAAACTAACAGAGAGTTCAGTGCCCTCCTATTTTCTATGTGAGACCTTCTTACTTCCTAGTAATAGGACCCTCCAGGGAGGGGGGGCTGGTAAAAGCAGTTGAACAGTGAGAAAGAGTGATAAGGTTAGAGCAGCTCCCAGGAGTGCTCTAATGTTCCCAGCCTGCTGACACAAACAAGTTTTTTTGGCAAGGTCTTTTATGAACTATGTTTTCCAAGAGACCTGCTGTTACATGTGGGCAGGCTTTAGGGAAGGAAAATGAGATGGCCAATGAGTCTTGTTAATGAGGCAAAAGCAGCATCTGCATTAAGAGTTTTGCAAAGGACTCTTTGTGCAAAGCATGTACCCCTGCATTCATGTGTTTTTAAAGCTGGTTTATCTTCCTATCCTCTGCTAAACAGCCAAGCTTTGATTGTTTGGACTGCGTCTAAAATACTTTGAAGTCAATCAGAGGTACTGAGTCATGTCCAAGTGACCCTTTAAGCTACCTTGGCTTAACCATGGGGGTGCAGTGCTGGCTGGAATCAGTGCAAGGAGTTAAGCTGGAGTTAAACACACAGCTCAGTAATGAGCTGAGTCCTTGTCACTCTTCACTGCTTTAATGCTGTTTCTGCAAGTCACTCATGACATTTTTCTTTCTCCTTTTCCCCTTTCCTTCTTATTAGGGGAAATTGATAGGCCTAAGGAATTTTCCTATTTACAGCTAAACCCCTGCATCCTGCCATGCACAAATATCTGTCTTGCTTATGAATTTAGCGGAATACATAGGTAGATGTGGTGGTGCAGCTCTGTACTTCTAGGGGAAATGCTGTCAAAGTACTTCCTGCTAGACTGAGGCTGGTAACTTGTTCCCGAGCTTGGCACTGCAAACCTGTGCAATCATTTTGATTTGATATATGATGCTGTGCACTGCATTTAGATCTAAACTCCGGCTAGATTCCTAAACTGTATGCTTCTTGTTGGCTGTCTCTGCAAGCCCACAGCTAAAATCTGGTAACCCACTCGATACAGGGATGTTGATTTCTGTGTGTGGTCCTTCATGTCTGGCTTGTGAAGGGAGAGTGCATGTGACTGTTACCACTGGAAGTAATAGCTTGGCTTGTTATAAAGGTAGCATCTCACTATGGAGCAGCAGGGAGTTGCAGGGAGATCCTGAAACTTCAGAGCATTCTGACCCTGTAATGATGAGATGTAAAGGGAGAATACTGAGGATGGGGAAAGCAGAACATACTTACTGGCTATGCAATTGGCAAAACCTTAGAACAGATCATCTAAAGGTGATGGGGAGGAAAGAGGATCTTTCTAGCTGCTGTGTCCTCCTTAACAAAAGATGCTGTTGCACTAGTGGGAGACTGAAATAAAAGAGGGTTTGCAGAACGTGTCCCAGGAGGAGATCAGGCAGTAAGACCCTTAGCCCTGCTGGTGTCGCCTGTCAGCCTCCTCTGCGCCTGTTCTTGTTCTGCATGGAAATTCTACATGCTGTTCCTTATCAACGGCTCACAGCTGGAGGAGAGGGGAGGTGTGGTGCCTTCACCAGTGGAGGAGGCCAGGTTGCCATAGCAGCAGGTCTGATTTCCATTCCTGCTGTTAGTACCTTCAGAGCTCCTGCAGTTTGGAGCCCTGGGCTCTGTCCCTTCTGCAGTCGGCAGGTGGGGCAGCTTGAGTGCACAGTGCTAGTGAAAGACTAGAAGGGCATGTGCATACCTGGGGGGTGTACAACTGGTGCTGAGAGAACCAGCAGTGTCTCCTCACCTTGTCACCCTGCTTGTCTGACAGATTCTCTTCCCCCTGAAGAAGAACAGTAAGTCAGAAACCGTGGCCTGTCTGATTTGGTCATGTATTTTATATATCTTTCAGTAGTTTGGCCCTTGGAGAAGAGGTAGGGTGGATGAGTGATTCAGGTGTTCAGCTGCAACTTAGTGCTCCCTTGACTCTCTCCAGGTCTCTTAAACCTTCCCTATGTTGCAGTTTCCCACTTGAACTAAAAGTTTATTAGCTTCCCACTAATCTCCAGGAGTTTGTTGGCAATGAATGAAAGAGTGAGGAGCTTCAACTCTGTAACAGCGGTGGCAGGTAAATACCTATCTATTGTTTTGCATCCTAGTATTGGCATTTTGCTTCAACATCTCTACAGAGGGTTTGCATTTCTGAGCATGTACCACCCCTCTCCCCAGCTCAGCAGAATGACACATCTCAAATCCAGCACCTGCTTCCACACAATTGTGAAATGTCCCCTGCTATTTATGAAATGAAGTACCAAACACTATGAACATGCGGCCTTTTGAACAAAAGGGAAGGTGGAACTGAAGTGTCACTTCAGAACCGGGCTGTGAGGGGAGCTGCCAGTGTAGTTTTCAGGTCTGTAGCTCAGTGGCTGTAGAGAAAGGAGCATTTGGGGGGAAAATTCCCATCACACACCTCCCCCCTCCAACCCCAAACTCCAGCTCTTGTTCTTTGAAAATAAATGACCCCAGCAGTTCAATTCACTCCTGCTGAACTGGAGGCTTCTGGGACTCACTGCGAGTCTCACATTGACGTCAGCAAGTGCAAATGTAAATCTCAGCTGGCTCTGATAAATGGTGCTGCTAATTGAATTAGAGAGCACTCCAAGCCACCAGCTAATTATGCTCCTCAGGAAGCTGCTTTGCCAAGGTCCATTTAATTCTATATTGGCTGAGCACTCCGAATCTGGCACAGAAAAGGGGAAATATATTACAGCTCCCCACTGAGGGGCACATATTTTCCAGCTCTTTAGGCTGAGCCGTCTGCTTACTCCAAACACTTGGGTTTTCCATAGTAAAAAATATTCTTAGTGCAAAATTAATGATTTGGTCACATTGTTCTAACATATCATTACCCTTGTTTGATAAAAGGCTTTGTTTCATTCCCTTTAATGGTGCTTTATTCCATGTTACATGACATGTTTTCCCTACTTTTGTTTTATGAGTGGCTAAATTACTTCTTAGGTACATTGTTGGTACAAAATTTAATGCATAGAGGAAATACAGACATTAATGAGGTTTCAGAAAGCTTTGAGCATGAGTTTCCTGTGTATGCCTATAGTTAAAGGTACTAGGTCCTGCCCGTGTGGCAGACATTCAACTTCCTCCTGCCTCTTCTTTTTGCCATTCCGTTCTGTTCTGTGTTCTCATGCTTCTTTCTGATTTCTGTTGTTTCTGGGGTAAGAAGTTCAGGCTACAAGATGCAGTTTGGAAAAGTCTCCCACCACTATATTTATCTAACTGCTTCCATTCCATGTCAGTCTGACATACTCACTTAGCAGTCCTTGCTTCCATTCCAGAACAGCCTACACTGACATTAGTAGAACAGGACTTTGAGTTGCTTTCTCCTGAAGTCTGATAGGTAACTGACGGAAATACCCTCAGTACCAAATGGCACTGTGGTTCTAGCTCTTCTCAGCCTACTGGTGAATGATCACCTCTATCCTAACTGGGAGATTCTCTGGGTGCTGCAGCAGTCATTCCCTTAGAAACAAAAAAGCTGGGAAAAAATTCAGACCTCCCCTGGAATGTGGCATACCTCCTGTGTCTGGAGCACAGCAACAGCTGAGCAGAATTTACCTGTTGATTAGCTCCAGCCTAACACCCACCACTGAAGGAGCCTTGCTCCTTCTCTGTTCCAGTAGCATGGTGCTATACTCTTGGCTACCCAGCTTGGGGTGATTGTGGCCTTGATCTTGGTACCAACATGCTGCTTCGGAGCTGTGTGCTGATTAAGGCTACGCACACTCACAGTCTCTGGGGGACAAATTTAGAAGCAAATGCAAATAGAACATTATATATATTCACTGTCATCCGCCATCCCAACCCCTTCCATGTGCCATCTGTTGTTTGAGGCTGCTGAGCCTGACAAAGCAAGGTGACAGGAGGTAAAGGTAAGTGTCTGAATGTAAAGCTTAATCATGACTTCGTGAGCTGTAGGTGCATCAGCAGCCATGGTTCTGATATGGCTGCTGCTGAAAGCAGGCATCCAGGGCTTCGCTACTGTATAGTTACCAGCAGCAGAGAGAGCAACCTTGTGCTTGTGTCCAGTCTGAATCTCTTCTCAGTGATAAAGTTGCTGCTGAACAAATGCAAAGGCTGACCTTATAGCTCTGGAGCAGATATGTTGGTGCTACCTGCTTACCATGCCATATTCAGGGTTTCATATTTTTTGTCTGAGATGTGATTCTCTGAGCACATGAATATTATTTTTCAGATGCTTCTTTTTTACGTTGCCTCTTTTCATCTTGTATCCTTAGTCTGGGTAATTGGAACCAACGTAAACTGTTCCCTTTTTACTTTTGAAAGTCTTGTTAGTGAAGAGTCATTTTTCTGTGGCACCAGCAGTGTGACTAACACCTGGTGGAAACCAAGAACTCCTTGACAGTTTGAGTAATTCATCATTTCACTTTTGGGGTCTCTTCTGGCTAAATGAATTTTACAACTCTTTGTTCCAGGAGCACGTACTTGTTTTGGGGGAGGAGTACAGGATTGTAGATCAGCTGTGGCCTTTATATACTAATTCACTGGATTGTTATTTGTCATGAGTACCTTGGCATTATGTATGACATCCACTGGTGGGAAGAGCACCTATCTTTCTGCTCTATGTTTCTCATCCTTTTCCACCCTCACTATTTTTTCCCATCAGTCATTCCTGCCTCTTCTTTTTACAAACAGTGTTCTCCCATTTTACTGCTGATGTAAACTGTGAAGCAGTGAGCACTGACATTTAAACTGCTGCATTAAAGGGCTGAGTTACCAGCAAAGTTAAGAGCATGTAGAGAGCTTTTGTTGCTCAGAGCTGTTGTTTCAGGCTGTCTGCAACCTCAGGGTAGTTACACTAAGGTGGTTTATATGGGAGGATAGTTTTGCTACTATCAGCTCCTGGAATATCCTTTTGTTCTAAAAAGCAAAAGCTGAATCCTGCACATTCTGAACATATGCAATAAAGACCACATGAGCACAACCATGTGAGCTGCATTGGGCCTGTATTTCAGAATGCTAAAGAAGTAAAAGGTATAAGGAGTGCTTCTCACAAAAAGTATAAAGGAGAGTACAGACAGGATAGTGGTGTTTCTGCAGAACTGTGAGGAGTACCAGCGCTGAGGGTAAATACAGGTGCGTAGTTTCATTTCATCCAGCAATCAGACCCACCATTACTGGATGCCCACTGTGCTGTACAGTGCTGGCCTGGGCAAGCAGCCAGCATGTAGATGCATCCAGGTCAAGGGGAGGATGTGAAGTGGGTGCTGTTGTCTGAGGCTGTCAGCTCTGTGTCTTCACTGAGCAACAAAAAGCATTTTCAGTGCTACGGGCTGTATACCTGAGACCTCAGGCATGAGCTGAAGGTGCTGCCTTCCTCTCTGTCCCTGAGCTGAACCACACAAGATTATTACAACAGATTACTTCATTTTAACCCAAGCACACATCCTGAGCTCTGGGGATTTTGGGCTAGTTTCTGTACCTTTCTTAGGATGTAGCAGCAAGCTGGTACTGTACCTTGTTTTTAATTTTCCTTCTTGTAAACAGCATCCCAAGCAGCTTGAACACAATCGCTTTTTCTTGTTTTTCTTTTCTTCTGCTTTGCTAAAGAGAATTGAAGTGAAACCACACCAGTCACAGATAACAGCCATGGTAGCAATGGCGGGTTGTCAGGCTCAGAGGAGGAGATGCCAGAATAAGTTCAGCAGTGACATGATGTTCATTAGCCACAAGAGATGGAGGAGGCAAATCAAGCATTTGTTTTCAAAGGGATGTCTTTGCTTCTAGTGACTGGCAGGAGGGCTGACCTCCAATTTCCAGGCACAAGGAAATGACAGCTGCAAAAACTCTTCCTTGTTCAGAATACACCAAAATTACCATCTTCTGCATAGTTATTTGCTACTAAGAGATTCTGCTTTGAACATGTTCTGATTCCAGCACCTCAGGAATTCACAAAGAGCAGCCATTTCCAGTGATTCTTTTATTTAGAAACTTCGCTGGGTGCTTTACAATTTGTAAAGAGCCTAAGTATTATCACTGAGCTTTTTGTTCTTGCAAGTGAAGCAATCAGCATTTTCATATCCTAAAGCACAAGCCCAGTGTTTGGCAAAAAACAGGCTTACAAGATGCTGGATGTTGAAAGGAGGCAATCTCACAGTTAGGAGGACTTGTAAATTTTAGGAATTCAGACTTGTTTGGCTCTCTGAGGGTAGATAATACTTTCTGCCTCAGTTTCCCCTCTCCAGTGTGGGAAGAATACTGTTTAGTCTGTCACTTTGTTTAAAGAAAGAAGATTTCATTTGATAAAAATGCCTTGCTTTGTGCTTGTATGGCATCTTATGTAACAGGACCCTGCTTCTGAGTGGTGCTATGCCAGTGCAAGTAGGTATCACCAGTCTTTTCATGGACTGTCTTTTACTCCAGGTTGCAGGAGATGAATTACAGTAAGGCTGTCTAAGAACCCTAGAAGCCTCCAGGGAGATGTAGTTCACAGTGGCAGTTCCTGCTATTGTTTTTTTAGGCTGCATTTTTGAAAGATATCCAGTGCTGTCTTATAATAAGCAAACAAAGGGCATTTCAGCTTTCTTCTGAAAAAAGTGACTTGAATTGGGTGTCCAGAACATCGGCTGTGTTACCACAAAGCCATGTGAATTGCAGTGACTAGCAAATACATGCTGGACCTGTACCATCCCTGACCACTTAGCATGCTGCAAATCAAATTCGAGTGCTGCTGCTGCTTTTCCAAGCTTTATGGGGATGGAGTTAAGAGTTACGGCTGTGAAGGGCGGATAGTTTACCAACAAGTTGATCTTGAAGAGAGAACCTTCAATGCAAAGTAAGCAAGACTCTGCTCCAGCCCTGTTTTCAATAAGTTGCTCAATTTTTGAAGCCTCTAGCAAGGTTCAGTGTTGCTGCTGAAGGACATTTTATTTGTCTGCTTCACATTTAAACCTGGATTGTACTGTTAGTTTGCTCAGTAGAGAATACATGCATTTAAAATGTACTCAGCTAGCACAGCTCCAGCAATTAGCAGCCAAACAAAAAGTACTAATTTGATGGAGCCATTAAACCCTCCATGCTTGAGTACTCCAGTGGTCCAATTGTTGCAGAGTGCTGTGAAATGCCAGCTCCCAGCACCAGCAGGGCATGGAGTGAATGCTGGCAGCCTGCGGCAGACTCCCTTGTAGGCTTTAGAGCAGTCCATCCCTCTTTAATTCAATACCTTCAACACAAGAGCAAAACTTCAAAATGCCAGTGCCCATCAAAGCTTCTGTCTGCCCTCCAGACACGTGTGGAGGAATAGGCAGCCAGAAAGATTGGCTAGAAAAGAGGAGATGCCAGGAGCTAAATGCAGCCTTGCTATTTTCACCTTCATAGTGTGCCCTGAGGAACCGGAGGCCTGTCTCTGTGTGTGATACCAAAGGCCCACAGGGATGTATTGCCTGCTTTTTGGACGGTGATATCTGGGATCTAAGTTTCTTTCAGTAATTACACCACCTTCCTGCTCTCTCTCCCTGCTAACCCTACTGGAATGGATAATCAGCATGCTGAAAAACTGGGCAGGCTGCTGCTCTTAAACTGGTGGTGCTGGAACAAACCAGCTTCGGTCCCATTGACAAGGAGAAAATGGAACTGGGCTTTAAGTGCCTGAACCATTAGCATTCCTCATGTCACTGACTTACCAGCCCAAATATTTTGCAAAGCCTCATTTGTACCAATTTGACCATACAAGCAAATGAGCACTTTAAGGATGATTTGTTTTTTTCCTTTCTGGTTTCAGGTCCTCAAAGCTGCTGCGTGCATTCTACGTTCCTCTTCTCTCAGAACAGTACACATGGTATGCAAACTATACTATTCTGAAAGCCCGGAGGTTGAAGCAAACCAGGAAAAAAATGGGAGGCTAGCAACACACCTGGGCATCAAGATCAAGGGCATCTGCTGACACTCTTGGACAGCTGCCTAAGCCATCTTCAGTCTCCTTTTTGAAAGACTGTGCTTATAAGATTCATGAACAAAGATTTCCCATGAAGTGATTTCACTCTGCAAGCTTCCAGCTGTAAAAAGGGTGCATCATCTGCTTTCAGTTCTCGGTGTCAGGTCTCTGCTCTGCCTACACGGAACATATTGGTAAGAAACCATTTGAAAATCCAGCAGCCACCTACGAACGTATTATCCCTGCTGCTCCCTGTGTTATTATATATTACACCAGAGAAGAGAAAGATGGAAAAGAAAAAGGAATGACTGTGAGGTTCTACTCCAGGTTGCAATTGGGCATTGTGAAAATCCAGCTCAGCCTCTTTCTCCCACTGCCCCATATCCACTGTCCTCATCTGCTTAAGTAGTGTTCACCTTCTCCTGTGGATTTATTTTCAGGTAACAACATTTAGGTTTTTTTTTTTTCTTTTTTAACAAAAACAAGGGGAAGAGGAAAACACCTGAGAGAATTAACTGCCATGCACTGAACCTCAAGGAATGGAGTAGCACACACCACAGAAACAGCCTGAAGTTGCTCTGTCCAGGAGACACTTTCAAGGATGTGCTTTTGGGAGAAAAGCCCTCAAACTTAGGAGTTGAATCTGTTATCTGCTTTAATGGAGTCAAGAGTGTGGATTTTATGTGTGAAACCAAGGGTTTGTTTGCTATTTGTAATAATTTTGTAAAGATACCTGTAATACCCTCTGAATTCTAGACTACAGCATCTTAAAATTTCTGGAAACACCCAAAGAGGAGAGGAAGGATTAAATCTTTTTTTTTTTTTTTTTGCAGTTCTGTTTCCCAGAATAGACTGTGTGTGTTAAATTAGTACAATATGCTTCAGAGCAATGCTGTATTTATTATATCTCCATCTTTAAAACATGCAGTATCAGAAGCTAGATGGAGTTGTTTTCACTCACATCCTTGGAACTCTGTGGGGATGGCATGAGATGGAGCAGAGAGGAAGTTCCTTTTCCCAAAAGGCTGCACAAGCTCAGTGCCCCACTGTGATTAGATTGGTGTGTGTGTGCAGTGACAGAGCAGGTGTATCTGTATGTTTGGAAGCTGTTAGGATACAAACAGTAAATAAAGCACGTGCCTCTGAAGATACATGTGTTGGTCCAGGTGCAGAATACAGTGCTAGGGAGGTTTCTTGAGTAGTCTGCAGGTTAACAGCTGAGCAGGATGTTAAGGGCAGGCTCTACCAATGAGGTGGTGATCTAACATGCTGCTACTGGGACAAAGCAGGAGGAAGTGGATGAGGAGCAAGGCCTGGGCTGAAAATATCAAGTGAAACAAAATATCACCCTTCATAAGAGTCAAATGTGGAGCTTCAAGGTTTTTGTCCAAGCAACTGGTGTCTTGGCTGAGTTGGTCTGGAAGTTCAGAGTTGCATTGCAGATCAATGGTGCAGTATCTGTCTTCATACTATTCCCCCACATACCTCCAGCCCGCTCTACCCCTCCTAAAAGTTTACATGTGTTGAACAGGGCTTTGTGGTGCCTGTAAATCAAAACCAAAACTCTTGCCCTGCTTGTTGCCTCTCCCTTTGCTAATCCTGACCTTAAATCAAATAAAGAAACAAATGCACCTCTCGCTGGTGCTGTTTGTGTGACTGTTCCATGTTGTCATAGCCCATAACCTCATGTTTAATGTGAAAAGACAGGACAGTAAACAACCATTTCAAATGACTCTGGCAGCTCCACCTTCCTCTCCAGGTTAGGCTGGTGGTGGGAGACTGATAACTTGACAATAATTAGGAGTTATCAATGTTTTCCAGAGGAGTGCAGCCAATGGTAGTAAACATAGGTGCAGCTACAGGTAGTGGACAGCTGGAGAGCTTTGCATTCCAAACTTTCAAATCAAGGCAGGGACTCTGTTTTGCTGCTTACCATGCAGACAGGTGGAGTCAGTCCTGCCACCTGGAGAATTTGCAGGCTAAAGAGATGAGGCAGAGAAAGAGAAGGTTGTTGCTGTTGTTTGATGACAAGAGTAGGTCATGTTTTAATGCTGATTTCATGGGGAAGTCTCAGTGCTGCAAAGAACTTGACCCAAAAACTCATTTAAGGTCACACTTGAAGTCTGCCTATGAGTTCTTTCTCATCTAATGAGTCTTTGGAACAGAACCAGCTTTCCTGGCAGCAGGTGAAAGAGCCAGGGCCTCTCTTCCTTTAGTCCCTGCTAATGCATAATTGTCAGGGGTGGTGCTACCAGGCAGCCAGGATGTAGAATATAGGTAATCCATCAATCCCATCTGGGGAAACAGGGAATTGCTGCTAATTTTTGTTTCTATCGTAACAATTGAGCCATAGGTGAGACTTCTGAAATATTAATGCTCCCTCATGTTTTCATAATTCACAGGTCAGGACTATTGCACTGTGTGTAGTGCTAAGATTAAGCAAATAAAAAAAAATCAGTAGCAAGGAGATTGCTAGGAAATAACCACATTTGACAGAGTGAGCAGTACAAATCCAAGGAGCATGTGCATTGGAAGCTGAGGAGGAGACTAAGAACTGCCTACCTGACTCAAGTTTAGCTGAATAAAGGATCTTGCTTTTTGAATATGGATGTGGATGCAAAGAAGTTTGTGCCAAAAGGTGGAGCTGCATCCAAACCAAAACATTTTAAAAGGTATTTTGTAGTTTGCTTTTTTGCTTTTGCTAGCAAGATCAAGGGAGGGGCTTCTTTTTTGTTTTATTATTTTTCTTCTATTTTTGCTTTGACCCTAATTAAAGCTAATGTATGATCTCATGGTGAGGAGGCAGGTTTGGGACAGCTAGTTTATGATCTTTGTTAGAAAATAAATCAAGTCTTGTGGTTTGTGAGCTTGTGGGTAAAGGGTCAAACCACAAATTGCTGATCTGTCTCAGCTGGATTCCCTGCCTAGAGTTGCCTCGGGCAGAGAGGGGTGTTGTGACCAAACCTGTTTGGTAGTACATCAGGACTGTGTAGGCAATCCACGTTGGTCTCCTTTCTGACTTTGGAGGAAGGGCTCTTTGTATTATTCTGTCTGGTTCTGGAAAAGAAGGTATCTAGATGGCTTTCTACAGTGCTGCTAGTGTCTGACCTGACACACTGACAGAAGCTGGTTTCCTGATAGATCAATAGATGTGCAACCTCATGGTCGTGACTGCCTAGATCTGGTGTCTGAAGCAGAGAATGTACAGGGGTTACAGTATTTCTGGCTTCCCCTTTGCTGGCAGTATTTCTCTAAACTGAGGCAGAGAGCACTGCAAGTTGGACAAGAGCTGGTGTGAAATACTGGGACCCAGTAAATTTCATCTTGTCTGAGCTCATCCAGTCTTTGTAACAAGGAGCACCGTGGTAGAGTCCCTGAGGAAGCACCAGCAATGAAACAGATTGACACTGTCAGAAATAGGCTGAGGGAAGTCACGATTTCCACAGAACTATTTTTTTCTGCTTGTCTGCTGCAGCAGGATTTAAGGTCCCTTTCAGTTTTGCTCCTGCTCTCTCTGCCTGTTCTGGGGTTCAGCTGTAACCTGCTCCAAAGGCAGGTGTATGTGTAATGTGTATGTAGTCATCTTCACCTACGGGTTACTCTGGGCCCACGGGAACATTAGAAGAGGGCACTCCTGGACTCAATCATGTTTCCAAGGGTGTTCAGTGTAAATTTGCTCTTGTTTTAAAAGGAAAATAAAAAGGACACTGCATCTCCATGGGGATGATACGCCTTCCTTTACTCAAGGTTTTTTCCTGTTTGGAGTTTTTTGTCCTTTTTTTCTGTAAGAAAATTACTTGAAATAACAAACTCTCTTAGAAGCCAGGAGCTGAGAATGTGTGTGAAGAAGTAGGGGCAAAGGAGCTGAGGCATGTGGGGCAGATACCTTGGACATGAGTAACAGTTAATGAAATGTTGAATCCTGCATGGAGGCTGTGAAGGCATCAGGCTGACTTAGCTGAGGATGCCCCAGGCCAGCTATCAGGTGTGACTGGCAGATCTTCACGGGAGCTGGTTGTTCTAGGATAGGTACATGGCATATTGACAGCTGGTCTGTCATGTCACAGTGTGCCTGCTGTTTGGCAGCTCTTCTCTCCATAGGAATGGGGAAGCACTTCCATGTTGCATTGCCAATGTAAAGGAGATTTCTGTAAAGCATGGTTGGGGAACATAATTTACAAAGCAGACTGTGTATCCTCTGAGTGACTGAACAGACTGGCCCTGGGGTTTGGTACCTGGGACAGTGATGGTCAGTGGTCAGATATTGTGGAATAGAACTGCTGTTCTTCTCCCCTAATCCCCTACCTTGTTTGTAGGGAGCCTAATGCTTAGACAGTTCTTAGCTGTGGCTTTACTGGTAAGTACGTGTACTAACCTCAGAAGCAGGGACTATCTTAGCATTTGACTTCACCTTTCATCCAACAAAAGGTATCAAGTTAGTAGGTTATATGTTTATTTTGTTGCTGTAAGAGGGCTTAAAGTAGCAGTGTAGAGAAGCCCTGGTAACGAAATTCTGTGGTTTGAGTGCCTAGCTCTCCAGGCGCTGCTGGAGGAAAGAGCTGTGAATTTCTTTCTCCTCCAGCAACTGTCAGAACCTGAGCATCATCCCAGCCTTGCTGAGATTCAGTGCATGTCCCCATGAATAACTGCACATGTCTCTATCTGCTTGCCTGGAGAGGTACTAATGAGGCCCCATCTGTCTGCTTTGCAAACTCCAGCTGTGTCTGCTAAGCAGCAAAAAAAGGTCAGGGTGGATGTGCAGGGTGAGAGAGCAGCACCCTAGCAGGACTCCTGATCAATGCAGTCCTCTGCTGCCTTCCTACCTGTTCTTCATCCAGAGGGGAACTGCTGTAGAAGACTGTAGAACTGCAACCAGGACAGGACAGAGTTTTATTGTAGGATCAGTGAAGAGGCAGGGCCTGAGGCTGGATTCAGGGGTGGAGATTCCCTTGTTTCCTCCAAACAAGTGCATGTGACTGGATGCCTCACTGGAGACTAGACTGGAGAATGAGGAAGTTGGGTCTTGTGTGGTACTGTCACTCACTTGTAAGTCCATGAATTGTGCTTGGGAGGTGAATGACTGGATAAGTGTTTAAATATGATTGACAAAACATCATGTTTCAAACTGTTTCTAGAAAAAAGCAAGCTTCTCTGGGTTCCACTTACAACAGAGAAGGCTGCTCTGGCCTTCTCT